CACCGCGTGTAAATCAATGCGTTTTGCAAATGCTTTAACGACCTCGATTAGCGTCGGATTGTATTCATCGATATTGATCGCTCGCTATCACGATGCGCGATGGCTTACTTTTGTTCTCTTTTGCATTCTCTTAACAGTCGTGCTTCTTCCCGGATGTTACAATATTACGTATCGATTGTTTTACTTTGTTGCTTTCTATCGAAACACACTTTTTTTGCGAAAAGTGCGCAATTAACTTACTTTTTTTTATCACTATTATTTGCATTGCGTTAGTTTTTGCGATATTTTTGAACCTTGAAAAGTATTGTATCTATTTGTATTATTTCTTGACAGTTTTTTTTTTTTTTTTTTTTTTTTTTTTTTTTTTTTTTTTTTTTTTTTTTTTTTTTTTTTTTTTTTTTTTTTTTTTTTTTTTATATATATTCTCTACACAAAAGTATTAATTTAATTTCAATAAAATTAATATTTGTTATTTTACACTTGGTCGTGAAGAGCAGAAGAAACACTTTTCTCTCTATCGTTCGCATTTGTGAAGCTCTCTGAGGTAGAGATTAAACGAATCTTCTGGTATAAAGAAGGAGTTGCTTCGTCAATAATATAAAGCGATAAACGCTCGCTAAATTACATAATAACACATGTCGACGTCCGATAATTGTTGCGCGATTATACTCGCGCTAACGATAGCGCACGGAAATACAAGATGATCGATTCCGCTTTAATCGCGGCTCACGCCGCTTATGTGCATCTACGTCCACGCGCTTTAATCGCAGTTACTCACAATTCTTCCGAGCAATAATTATCGTGAAATATCCTACGTTTTTTTTTTTTTTTTTTTCCCCCGTTAAAAAGGACGGGATGTTATGTACCAGGCGGATAGAGAAATATTCATTCTGCTTTTTTGCGGATTATATTATTGTTTCGTAAAATTAATTAAAAACAAATATGTGAAGTAAAAGTGAAGAATAAAAATCCTAAAAATACGGGCAATTATGAGGAATAATCCGGGAGAAAATTCAACGCAAATAAATACAACGCACAAAGAGCAATTTAAAACAAAATGCAGAGCATGGAAATTGAATTAAACCGAAATGCACGTGCATGTGTGCGCGCACGCGGGCGCGGGCGCAACGAAATAAATAAAATAAATCGTAAAAGAGGTCAATAATGCACAGATTTCAATTTTTACGCAAAACGTATTTCGCGCAAAAAAAAAATACACAATAGGCCCTGTTAACAATATTTGTACGTAATGGAAAAAGAAAAAAAAAAAAAAATGCAATACGAGAATATTTAAGTGCTCGGCGTGTTTCTTTGAAATGTTTCATTATTGAAGGTAGGAATGCACCTGCCGCGCGCTTCGAGCGCATCGATGCATTTCTCGCGCAGCGCGAAACTATGACGATTGTGGTTACGCTCTGTTAATTCACTCTGTTGGAGAAAAACAACACACTTAGCTATAAGAATCGAGATATCTAAGATATTATAGGTGTGTTAGTTTTTTTTTTTTTTTTTTTTTTTTTTGTTTAGCTTTAAATGTAATTTGTTACGCTGTAACAATATCGCTATAATGCGCGTAATAAACCAGAAGAGCCAAAGGTCCAGGGTGAAGATGGAACGTCGATTAAAAAACATAAGCAGTTTTTAACAAGTAAAGTTTTTTTTCACTTATTTTATTTTATATTAAAACAATTTTTTTTAACAGTACTGAAGATGATCCACATTAAAGATATCGAAATGTTTACTTGTTAAAAACTCCTGCTTATGTTTTTTAATCGACGTTCCATCTTTACCCTGGACCTTTGGCTCTTCTGGTTTATTACGCGCATTATAATATTTTTATTTCCTTCGAGCCGTAAATCTTTTTATTAATATTACTAATAATAATTGTTTAATAATTATTTAATAATTATATCATAATTTTATTTGGAGTAAGTATTACATAAAATTAACACAATTATTTTTTGGCATAATATAAAATGAATACAGCGAACGTGTATATTTTCCCTCTTTATTGGAAAGTAAAATAAAAGAAGAAAAAAAATAAAACTTTTAAAATATTGGTTTAATTTTATATTTAATTATCTTCCTAATGAATACCGCGTTCTCCCTCTCTCTTTCTCTCTTTTTCGTTATTATTAACGTATTAATAAACTTCTGTATAGAAATGGATAATTAAATTGAGCCAATTAGGAAGTTTGCACGCTTTTTCCATCGAGAGATAACCAACATCTTTCATTAAAGATACCGACATCCCTGGCCCCGTCGTCACACCCTCGTCCTTCACATGGAAAATACATTATCCCATCTGTATAAAATATTCAGTACGAATATCTGTGTCCTCTGTCGCTTTTTTTTTCTTTTTTTTTTTGTCGATCAATAATCACGGACGTAATAATATTGTAACAGCTCGCGGCTGGTTTTCGAGTTTCGCACGATCTCGACTAAGAGACAGGTCGTGCAAGAGATCCGAGATTTTTGCTCGTCGGAACGTTGCCGCGAAACGACACGTTCGTCTCCTTTTTCGAACGTGAATTTGTCCCTCATGTACATATATATATATATATGAAACGCGCACATGTGTGCATGTTTAACCGCGTGTTCTCGCACGTAAGAGCATGCCGTTTCTGTCGGGCTCGCACGCCCGACGGCATGTCGGACGCACGTGATGTCACATAGAAAGAGAGAGTCGTTACCGTTACGCAATGCCGGCCACAGCGGGACATTCGTGTGTGCGTGCGCGCGAGAAAGTTGCGTGGCCCGGCCAAACGCTGACCTTACGTACTGCGCACACATATAAATACGCGCGCACTCACTCACGCACGCACGCACGAACGAACGTACGCGCGCGCGCGCGCAAGTATCGGTAAACACGCTACGTACGTGTTTGTTTCGTTGTCACCTGACGTAGCAAGATATTCGTGAACTATGCGCCAATTTCGAGAAATCGACAATTTTGAACAATTTTTCAAAAAATGTGCTTTCTGCTTCTTGACTGAAATATTTTGTTCGATGCAGACGTGCGGCCGATCATCTGATACCTAATTTTCGTTAAAAGACGGATTTGTTTGATGCAACAATTTGTTATGATTCTTAAAGAGTAAAGAGACTCACCAAGTAGTTACCTCAGTGTTTTGAGTATTTTACATGTAAGAAATAACATATTTTATTCGTCTATATATTTTCAGTTAATTATGTTGGATTTTGTTTGTAATAATTTTGCGTTCAAGCCTGACTCTTTCGTTGGAACTAAGAAAGTGCACAGAATTTTTGCACACGATCTGACTCGCGAACGAATAAAACGAGTAATTTTTTCTCTCTCTCTCTCTCTCTCTCTTCTCGCGGTCGTTAGAAAATATGAAAACCGGGACGTTGTAATGGTGATTACGGTGAAACTTCGTCGACGTGTCGATACACCGGAAGTCGACTTCTTGTGCGAGAGAAACAGGCGGGAGGGAAGGAACGGGTGAAAACGCTGTGAAAACTTCTCCGTTGATTCGAAACGCGCTCGATGCGACGGGGCTCACAGACGTTCAGTCTCTCCGCATCTCTTGTCGCATCAAGTCAAAGTCAAGCGGGATCACGTGTGACCACACACTCACAAATTTCGCATACGAGATTACGTCGAGAATTCATTTCGAAACGCGCTATTACAAGCGTCTTTTGCATGTTTTTATCTCGGTCTTCGGTTTAACACCGCCGAGATGTTAATTGAAGAGAAAACAAATGTCTCAATATCTACAAGACTCCGTCCGCTAATAAAACTGATTATGTCTGTTAAGAATTTGTTTTTTTTTTTTTTTTTTTTGCTGAAGAAGACGTGAACTTGTTGGGAAGGCCAACGCTTCGACGAGAATACGAACTTTTACGAGAATGAATAATCTTTATCTCGCGTACTTCGTACTACTGTATACGCGAGAAAATAAAATACAAAGAGAGTAAGAAAGTCTGTGTTCCGATACGATCGCGCGACTCTCGCTTAACGTCGCAGCGACATTAATAAAAAAAAAAAACATAATGTGACTGAGTATCAATCTTTGTTTACAACAATAATAAAGAAGGATATAATCTATGGTAAACTAAATATTTGAGCAGAGTGGACAAATTTCTCATCATTTATTCCATCAACCTGACTGTAATACATGAGGTCAATTTGTCTTCGTATTTCACACGCAGCTGGATTTTATGGGACGTCTCTCTCGTACATAATACTCTCCTAATTCTTCGTAATTCCGGAAAAAATAAAGGGCGCGATGACAAATTTGCGTCGTTATGTAATATTCACGACCTCCCGAAAAAAAAAACGAATATACGTAAGAACGCTCTCAAGGTGATTTGTTATTGTTTTTTTTTTTTTTTTTTTTACGAGATCAAAAAAATTCGCGAAAATGAGAAAACAATCGTAGAAAGAGAAAAAACGATTGATCGGCGATTGAAATCTGTTTGTCGGCGATTTCGCGCTATTTCCAGAGCGGGATTTTTCGTACTCGCCTGCCGCGAGAAATTGCTTAATGAAGTCGCCGCGCGCAGAACTCGGCGCCTGAAAGGAAGGTGGAAACGTTGCAGTGGGTCAAGGAGAGAAGCCGGCTTTCACTTCCTCTCGGCAGCCACGGGCTCCTCGAGAACGCCTCCCGAGCCGCGGCTTTTTTTTTTCTTTCTCGTTGCCTTCGTCGTTTCTCGCGAGAATGTTTATTCACCCGTGATTACGTCTAATTATTTCGACCGGCAACGAGAGAGAAAGAGAGAGAGAGGAACACGTGTATTTGCGCATAAAACTCAATGGGACATAAAATTCGAGCACTCCCCCGAAACGCAACGTATAAAACGCGCAACTTATTGTCCGAATATTAAACGGCGTAATTTCAAACGCGTTGTAGCTGAAAAGCAACCACTTTTTTTGTTTGTTTTAACATCTCTCTGCGAACAGAAGTTCGCAACTCTTGCTTTGATGTATTTTCTTGTCTCCCTGATATAGACGACGGTTTTCTGTTATCTTGTTGCAGTCGACACCAGGGAGGTGCAGCCGCACGACACGGGCGAGAAGGAACAGCTGGGCCTCGCGAACGTGAAAGTTGAGCCGGGATCGACCGGGGCGACGACTACCAGTAGCACGGGGACTCGTCTGCTTCACGGCATCCTCTCGCAGCATCCCCAGCAGCATGGCCTGGGGCTGCAGAACGGATACGGCCGGCACTTGGCCGGTCACGCTCAGATGGGCCAGCCGCCGTACACCACTGCCGCCATTGCCACGACGAGTACGCCAGGTAGGGCGATCCCCTTTTCCCCCCTCGTTCTCTCCGAAAGATAATTCACGCCGGAGATCGGTAATCGTTCGTCCAATCGCTTCCGACAACGCAACTCAATTATCCAACAATATAACAAACGCGTGAAAAAAAAATTGAAGGATATGAGAAGAGAATTTTTTCTTTTTTTTTTTTCGAGCGAAGACGATGCGCGTCCAAAACATTTTGCACGACTGTGCGGGCCGAGATCTGTAGGCGTTTATAATTTGTCTTATAAACTGCATTGTGATTAATGAGATCGACATTTTCGAGATTAACATTTACGCAAAGCGCGTAGATAGGTAGCGTAAAGACGATTTTCCATTAATTGGATTATAGCGAGGAGATGGTCGTTTCTCTCTCTCTTCCTCTCTCTCTCTCTCTCTCTCTGCAAACGGCTCGTTACCCGAAGTGACGATTGCAGTCGGACGGCGTTCGACGTCGAATGATCGATTGCAACGCCAATTGCTCGCGCCGCAATTTGCTAATTGACCGGAACAATCAATCGCGACAATACGGTCGTTGAATCGCAATTGTGAATATACGAAAAAACTATTCGTGGGGGGGTACACGTTAGTTTCTTGGAGAAAATAATTGTAATACGATGCGAAGATGTCTCTTATAACGAGACGATAAGTAATTCATTTCCCGACTACGTCTCGCAAATACAAACGTCGCGATTTCACGAAGTTGACCGAATGCGCAACGATAAAATCGCGCGTTCGTAACGAAAAGAATTTTTTTGCACTCGGCAGAAATTTGAGCGCGAATTTTTATTCTGATTTGTTTTTTTAATTTAATTTTTGCCCGATCGTTGTTCGGGTGTCGATCTCTCTCTCTCTCTCTCGCAAGGATCTCATCTTGAATAACGTAGCGACGAAACGAACGGGGGGTGGAGGGAGGGATGGTGACAATTAACGAGCGATAACACGCCGACGACGCAATAATGACGACAACGCGAGACAGACGAGAAATAAAGCAAGAGAGAAAGAGAGAGAGAGAGAGAGAAAGAGAGAGAAAGCGGAGTAATGACTCTGTATAGAACCGTTTGGGACTCGTTTGAGACGGTTAGCGATGCCGCGAGGGAGAAAAAGAGAAGAAGAAGAGGGGGAGAGAGAGACCGTGGGAAGAGCGAGCGATATGCATACCCAATGACCGGATGACCTTCGCTCGTTGCATAAAGATGCCTTTAATTGACGGCGCGCGCGAAAACACGTTCGACTTGACGACGACGACGACGACGACGCTCGATAAAGCTCTCTCGAGCGAGCTGGACCACTTGGATGGACCACCTAATTTGTTTAAAGCGACGTAAGCGAAAAGCAAACGCGCGCCCGGCTTTAATTTCTGGATCTGGCTAAAGACCCGGACCGGAGCTCGACCGCTCTAATTTATTGCACGTCCGCGTGTGACACGTCGCGGAACAAAACGGCAATGCGATAATTGCCAACGTACGTATATTTGGAATTTAAATGACGATACGCGACGCTTTGCAAATACGTGGGTAATAGAGTACTTTATTTAGACGCGGAATTGAGTGTCCACCTCTCTCGCGCGCATCGAAATTTTTTTTTTTTCAAACGAAATAATACTCGCAATAAGACTCCGCAACTCCGCAAAAGTTCTTCTCAGTTTTGTTTTGTTTGCAACTGTTTTTGTTTTTTTTTTGTTTTTTTTTTTGTTTTTTTTTTTTGAGCGAGCAAAACGCGAAATCACGAGAGATTAGCGACGTCACGTCTTTTGTCGCTATAGTCGTAAGTTCGCGGCCGGCTATTTATCACGAGGACGGAGTGTCGCCTCATTTTGTTTCATGGCGTCGTTGTCGGTTCTAAGCAGGAAGCGGATCACTGCCAGCGAGTCCAGCGGACAGCGGAGTCAGCGACGTTGAGTCCAGCACGTCCTCCGGCGGCAACGAGGACGCGAATCTCTTACTGAAGGCCAGGCTCAATCCGAATTCGTCCCTCCAACCGAGTCTGGCGTCTCATCACTCTCATCTGTCGTCGGGTGAGATTTATCTGATGTAACATCGCGTAACGTATTACACGGAGAAGATCATACATACGTGTAACGTATTACACATAAATATGATGGATGAAAATTGTACAATTTTTTTTTGGTTTGCTTCTCTCTCATGACGATGTCATCGAGAGATGTCATCCTAGAGTCACCCTTGATACTCAAATAATTTTTGTATCTTCCTATATTGTTTATTTTTTTTTTTTTTAATTTTTGTATTTAATATATTTCTTACGTTTCGCGTATTTTCTTTCTTCCGACGCTGTAAATATATATTTATATTTGTTGTAGCAAAAGGATTGTCTCGTTAACAAAAACGCGAGTGAACAAATTTCAATCGCAACTGAACCAAAAAAATTCTCTCTCCGACGCGCGCACAATTACGTGAAATATTTTTTTGCACAAAATGTTATTTCTCTACGAGAGGAAATTATGTGTCGAGACTGTGTGTTAAAATCGCTTTTGAGATCGTCTAATAGGAGTACCTCTCTATTGATTGTTCGGCAGCAGCACTCGGCAGATCGGCCTGTCACAGTCCCAGCGTTTACCCGTCGACGGCGAGCTTCCTGCCGCCCTCCTATCATCCTCATCAACATCATCCCTCCCAATATCACCCACACCGGGGGAGCTCGCCGCATCATCAGCACAACAACCACACCATGGGTCCGACGATGGGGCCGCCCCACCATCACCATCACCACCATCAGACGCAGAGTCTTCAGCACTTACATTACCGTCAGCCGCCCACATGTGAGTTCCAACGCATTTAACACTTTTTTTTTGCTTTTGAACGTAGCGCTATCGTTGCGCCGTGATATATGCGTATCGGCACGTTTCTCGGCCGCAAAACGTTTTTTTTTTTTACGAGATCCTTGATGATTTTCCGACGAACAACGGCATTTCACAGACAAATTCGTAGAAACAACTTTTCTCTCAACGTTACTTCATTATTTAAAAAAAAAAATCCGATAATTGTAAAATACGAGAATTGAAAACAGAGTCGCGCGGAAGAAGAATTGTTCCTTTGAATGGAGAATAATAAGAAAATTTGTGAACAAAACGAATTAACAAAATCGAAATCGATCCGAGCTCTATGGTCTTACGTCGAGACAAGTCTTTTCTTTGACCTCATTTGCTTATCTGCAATTTCGACGATAGTATAAATGTACATATCTCGGTTCTCATCGCGCGCGGGTCGATCGACGCGGGCGAGCGGTCGGAACAAGGGAGAATGAGACGACGACGACGACGACGAGTGAGGAAAAGTGGTGTTCGATGAAACGGTGATTTCGCTATCTCGCGGGCGGTATCTGAAGACTAGATCGTCGTGACGCAACGAACGGACTCTCGGAGTAGTCCGGAGTTTATTTCGACTTCACGGGTATCGATTCGATCGCCAACCGTCGACCAACCAGACGTTGGAATATTTTCGCTTTTCGTCGATGCACGCAAATGTGAGCGCGGCGCTTGATGATCCGGCGATTCAGATTGTTCTTCGCAAAATGAATCACCATTTGTCGGAACGCGATTAGATTGTCCGTGCGGAGTAACTGAGAATTCCTTTCGATCGATAATTTTCCAGTAAATTTAAAAAGAAACAGAAAGAATTTTAAAACGCGCGATCGCGCGCTGTGATTTCGAAGACGAAGCGAAGACGGGAAGCGATCTAGAACTCCGCGAGCTAGGATTTCCTTCAAGCTGCGAGTGAAAGGATTCCGCGTCGTCGCGGAGAACGTTTTTTTTTTTTTTTTTTGAAAACTCTTTTCGCGCAATGAGAGATCCGCGCGAGTGTCGTCGACAGCGACACTTCCGAAGCGCGCTCGTCTTGTTCCCGTGACCCACTTTGCCATTCTCCGATTCGACGGCCCAGATTTGCTTCCTGCCGCAAGAAGCATTTCCGTTTACACTCTCGCGTCTTGCGACCGCGTGCGAATCTCAACGGGATGCACAGAGAGACGCAGTTTTCTCTTTCAATACACGTCCAAAGAAGAGAGAGTGCAACGCACACTTGTTAAAAAAATAACAGATGTTTAGGCGATTGCAATATTCGTGGTTGTAAATGGAATTTTTTCTTTATTTGCCACTAACCCAATTTCAAACTTTTCAAATAGATAAATTAGAATTTCATTTAAATAAATTGATTTAATTTTTTTCAAAGCGGGGAGAGCACAGGTCTATTCGATGATGAAAACTCCGTCTCTGGTTTAAATTTTGTTGGTTAAAATCTCATTGCGCGCACATTTTCAATTGTGTGCAACAAAAGTGCTTGTGAAAATTACCGCGCGATAATCATCAATTTTCGTCTTTATTGTGTAAACATTTTTTCTGTTTTTCTTTTTTTTCTAGTTTTTCTTTTTTTCTTCACAGACGCGTGAAAAACCGCATGCAAAATATAGTTCCACAGTTCTATAAGTGTTATAAAAATAGAGGTTAAAGAGCGAGATTTTAAATGAGGTTACTTCGAAATTAATCAAGTCAGCGCGCTCGAAAAATCGAGGTCGATGCGGAATAACAGTTTGCAGGCATTTGCGACTTTTTTTTTAGGTTTTTCGCCAAATTTTGCCGACGCGTCATTTATGTATTCGCGCGTGGCCAATTTTTGCGCGCGCGTTTAAAAATCGCGGAAATTCATTTTGCACGCGCGCGCGATGTGGGTCAGTTCGCGTCGCGAAAAAGAACTCGCGTTGTCGCGAGACAACGTAATTGAGTATAATTTCTGGGAGCGAATGATATGTCGCGTTGAATCAGATTTTCTGTTCAATCGACATTTTTTTTTTTTCTTTCTTGTCGTTAAATGCGACAATTGATATTTCACACATCGCGTCTCCGTGACACATCTCCTCTTAAGTCGGTGTGTATTCTGATTCTGTGTATATTTGAGTTCGTTATCTTTAAGATCGTTTTGTTGTTTATTATTTATAATTCCCTCGTCGGACGAATCGCGCTCGCGTCGGCGTCGAGAGATTGATTTTATTTTTTTTTAGATATCCGCGACTCGCGATGGAAAGCGCGCGACGGAGACGCGTGGAATCGCGGTGAAATTCTCCGCGTGCGAGCGCGGAGTATCAATTACGTCGCGAAAAGAAAATAGAAGAAAGGAGGCGGTCGAACGGAAGCGGCGCGCCGTTCGTTGCGCTTTATTATCAACCGTAAGGCCGCAATTCTCGCCGCGGCGCGTCCGACAATGCGATATCGAACTTTCCCTAATTGAAAATATTCTACGACGCGCGGCTGCGTGTCCTCCTTCAATCTCTTTTTTTTTTTTTTTACGGCGCGCGCGTTTTTCTCGTCGACCGCCGTTTCGGAAAAATTGCCGTGCTCTCGCTGCTTCCTACAGCGCTATTCGGTGACCGGAGATGCGAACAATCACCGTTTAATGGACCATAAAACTCGCGTCCGCTCAAAATACGCGCCGGTGAAAGCTTTAATGAAAATGTTCCGCGTGTCCCGAAGCACATCCTTGCTCTTTTCCCCTCGTATATTGTACAAACGCGTTCTCGATGCGTCAATATAAAGAAATGCGTCGATAAGTCAATATGACGAACAATTAAGTGATGATAATAATAGTAATTAAACTTAAATAATTTAATATTGATTAAAAAATATACGAAGAGAAGAGAATGTTCAAAAATAAAAAACAAAAAAAAACGAGTGTGTGCATTACCGTGTGCGTTCGTTCTTATTGAACACGTGTATCGTATCTTACACCGAAAAAATTATATTCTTGTAAGTAGAAGATTTTACACTTAAAAAATCTTCTTAAAGATTTTAGATGATATTCTTCCGAAATGAAGAATATATTCTTAATTTAAGAATATAGTCTTTTTCGATAGTGAGATATATATATGTTTTTCTATAGAGGCTTTTTATATTCTAATCAGTATATATTCTTATCAATATTACTAGTTAGAGGATTTTCCTCTTAAAATAAGAAACTCTTCTTGACGCCTATTTTAGTATAAAATATACTTAAAGTAAGTGGGATATCCTCAAAACAAGAATACAATTTTTTCGGTGTACTGTATTTCCAAGGAAAATGAAGAAGACAGAGATTTCGTGTTAAAAACAAACTTACATAAAAGCTTCGCGTAAAATATATAAAAAAAGGAGGAACAAAAGAGCGAGTCGTAACGGACACCGCCGCGCGGTTCTATGCCGCGCGGCGCGCTTGACAGGCTACCGCGTCGCGCGCGCGCCGCGCTCCGAGTAAAAGTGTGCCAGATTGTATAATCGAACGTGAATAAGCAAAATGTTACGCCATAGCGATTTGGTAACGTCGTCGTCGGGTGTTCCCCCTTCCTCTCTACCGGTCCGGACGGGCACGGCCGTGTTCCCAATGCGGTAGGCGCAATGGTTCATGCCGAGCAAGATTATATCCCGAACGAACAAAAATTTTAAACCTGTTACGGATTTGACCCCGCGCGTTCAGGTGCGAAACGCGCGTCGTTTCGAGACGCAACCGAAATGTGCGTAAAAACGTCCAAAAACGAATTCTTCTCGAATTTTTGCTGGATCTCTCCTCTCTTTCTAATCTCTTTCCCGCCTTTCTCTTCTGAAGTCACTTAAATATTGAGAAACTTCAAGCGTCGAAACGAGTTAAATTCTAAAATTTGTTTTTTTTTCTTTTTTCTTTTCGTTCTCTTCCGAACCGCGAACTTTGATATTCGAGCGAATTTTCTAACGCAATCAACTTACGGAGCGGAGAAAATAATAACTCTGTGACGGTTTGCTTACTTAAGGGAGAATTTAATTTCCGGCGAATTTCCGTATCTCTGTCAACAGCCTCTCTCGCGACTGTATCGTGTAAATATTTTCGAAATTGGACCACCGGCCAGTGCACCGCGTGCACACACACACACATCAACCCGAGTACGCATTCGTCGAGTATTCGCGTGTTGCCAAAACCGCATTTCAACGTTTTTCCACGATTCCGTCAAAGCCAATTGGCCATCGGCCTCTTTTATCTAGACCACTGTAGGTATCGTACAAAAACACATTGCGTAACTCCGCGTAACACAGGCACCGGAATACATAAAACTTCGCTTTGGATTGCTCGCGACAAACAGTTGTGGTCTATTTGCAACTTTCTTTCTTTTCGTTTCGCTTTGAGACGAGTCTTACATCAGTCGGGGAAAATTTTTACCAATCATTATGTTACATAACATATTACAGCGCGTAAATAAATAAATGTTTACAAACGCGTAGTAGAGCAAATATTTAATCATCGAGTCGCCGAGTCAGCGCTCGTTAAATATATCGGATTCTTTGATCGGCCGGGATCGATAAGCGGCCGGAAAAGGTGGACGGGAAGATGCGTCGTCGTTCGCGCGCGAAGCAAAAAAATAATCATCATCAGGCGTTTATCGAAGCGAGCTCTGTGTTTTTGCCTATTCGCGGTTGGCCGATCGCGGTACACCGATCGGTTCTCTCTCACAAGCGGGCGCCATGTGCGCACGTGTGTACCGGAATAGACAAGTCGGGGAAAAGAATAGCGCGTGGCGCGCTATTTTCGAAGCGAGGGATTGTCCGTCGGAGAGACGACGCAATTCGCATCGTTCCATTAACGCCTCGGAAACGTGTGTGAAAGACCCTCTTTATTACAAAGCATCATGTCGTCGGGAAACGAAAGTGATGCGCGCGTCGCGGAGTAAACCGGCGCGCGGCACAAATTTTGACGCTCTGACAGCGCGCGTCGGAAAGCGAAAGTGTTACAAGGTCTCTCAAGGAATAGCGATAGAACGTTAATTCAG